ATCTATATTATTGTTTCCAACATTTCAATTACTTGTTTTAATGTTTGGTATTCAAATTATTTTTGTCTGTTAAACAGAGTATATTAAAGAAGTATATATATATATTTACCTAATTCTTTATTCAGTTGTTATCTGGGTTTTCCAATTAAAAAAAATTGGAGGGCAAATAAACTGATTTTATCACGGGGGAATATATGATAATTAATTTCTGGTGGTGTCAATTTTATATGTAATATACTCGTACAATAATATGAAAAAATAATTTGCATTTTGCAAATTCTTTATTGTAAAAAGGACACTTTTTACTTCATGTATATCTGAACATATGAGTTTTTTTTTATATTCTGATATTGTCATTATTTAAGAATTTTTTATAAGTCTGTTTTAAATATCAGTCTGTAAAAATGACTAAAAAAGAAATATTTTCTTTTCTATGAAAAAACATGTTTTTATGAACATATAATTAATTTTTGTTGCAACATATCTAGAACATCTTAAATTTTTTATATTCAAAATATTTCTTTTTAATTTCGTGATTTGACATTTTAGAATAATTTTTCAGTACAAGAAAGAAAATGAATCTTTCCAAGAAAACAGTGATGAATTCGTAGTTATTGTTGAAAACCAAAGAAACTATAATTTAAATTCCAATTTATGGACTATCCAACGTTTAATTAAAATATTTTTTACGAGGATTAGTAACAGAAACATTAATTAAAATGAATCTCGTCATTTTAAAAAATCAAAGCTTTTTTTTTTTATCATCGATTTTTTGCTAGACGCGACAAAAATTTACCAAGAGAAATCATTAAGAGCTAAATTAAAATTTTGTTCTTATTTTTTTGATAAAAAGAAAAATAATTTCCTGCTGCAGATACTTAAATATTTCTTTTAATACTAGGCTTAGATCTAAAAGACTTTTATCAACTTCATTTGAAGGGTTTTTTTACACATTATTTTTTAAATGGAAATATTTTTATATCTGGTATTAAAAACCCAATATTTTTCTGGCTTTCCTATATCCAATACATGCATCATTATTTTCTTTGGTTATTTAAAAAAAAATATTTCTTAAAAAATAAGATACATAAAAATAAAAACACAATTTCACTTTTTTAAATGTCTAATATTTATAAAAGATGTATCTGCCACTTATATTAAAATAAGAATTTTCTCTTGATCTAATATTGTAAAAATTTACGAGTGAAATTTTCAAAGGGGCACTCTAACGCATTTGCCTTACTATAATTACGTATTTTTTTAGTATTATCACATACAAAGGTTAATAGTGTGAAAAGTAAGGATTTTAAATTTGAGTATTTATTATTTTTTTGCATTGCTGCATGTGCATTTTGGAAACACCACTTTCCTTCGCAATTTTAAACGAAAATGCTCTTTTTATCATTTGATTATTTTCTATTAGATGTTTTTGTACAACAAATATCAAATTGATAAAGACAGACAACATAAACTTCATTATCAAATCTTCTTCTACATGAAGCTTAGTGATCATTTAATAATGTTCTAATCAACTTACATTATAAGCATAATATAAAAATATGTATTTTTTATTTGCTTGCAATCGGTAAATTTTTAACAAAACAACTAGCTACTGCTTTAGTGTCATAGTAAGTACCTAAATGGTATCCAATGAATATTTTTAAGAACATGTTTTTTAGCTTTCTGTATTCTGCGTATGTTTCATTACATTCCAAATTAGCCTTATACGTCAGTAGGTTAATACTGGCTGCTAGCAACACTTATTTCCTCAATTTGTCATCGTGATTGACTATTAAACCGTTGCTATCTAAATCGCTAGATATCTATCAGTTGGGATTGTTTTGGATTTGGCGAGTAAAAACCTCTCTTTTTATGAAGGTACTAGTTAATTTAACTGCAGTTTAAATTCAATAAAAATATTTTTAGATATGGATACTGAAATGACAATTTAAATAATAGCATTTTTGTTAAATTACTCTTTTTTAATTTTTTAACTAAGCAACAAAAACTTTATTTTATGCATTGCAAAGACATAATTATCATCTAATCAATTTCGAATTATACTGTTGTACAAAAAAAGTTTTGATGGATATTTAAATTTGGTAAATGCATCTGAATTTGAAATACGCACTATCGAACGGAATTGTAGAGAATCAATTATATGATTTTTTTATTTGACCGCTATTAAAATGTTGTTATTACTAAAAAGTTGACAAATTAGTACATTAATGAGTCCGTTTTATTTCAATTTTGATTCATGGTTGCAGGAAATGGTTTTGTCCCTTTTTTTCAAATCTTTGATAAATATATACGTACCCTACAATATGATATTATTTATCACATCGAATAAACGACGCCATTAATTTGAAAATGCATTATACATACCAATAAGAGATTCAATTTATTCAATTGAAAGATTTTATCCGGCATGCTGTTATAATTTATTGAAAATTAACATAGTTTATTATCTAACATTCCATAAATTATAAAGCAAAAAATAAAATTATCTTTGAATAAAAAAAATCTCTAATTAATAAAATGTTCATGAAACAGATCGAAATACAGATAAACAATCCCAAAAATTACAGAATACAATTGTTTTTATTATTAATCAATTTCTGTAATAATTACAAAATGTAACAAAAATTCTTTTTCAGCCTTTCCGAAATAAAAATTTATTAGTCTTAAACCCAAACAAAAACTTTGATTCCTAAACTTCCTCGATTGACATTGCGACGTCTTACCTTTTGCTTTAAACGTCAAAGGATCACTGCAATCCGAAAGAAAAACGACAGGAAATTGGAGTAGAGATACTCAATCTGTCACTCAAAGCACTCCTGAAAAAAAAACCAGAAAAGTCAGAAGCGTTTGATCTTGTTTTATTTGATGTCTACCCACATTTACAGTGACATTTTGTAACAGCAAGAAAATAAAAAGTCGAATAATAGTGAATACTTCTACAGTTTATTTATTTATTTTTTCGTTATCTTCTTTTTTTCGCTTTTGAACATTAAAAAGAACCTCAATAGAGGCTAATAACTTCTTCTATGATTTCAAAAAATGTACAAAAAAGGGGATTAATATGTAATTAGTAGAACATTTTCCTTTAAAAGGGTATCATTATGAATTCTTAAGAAATATTTAGAAAAGAAATTGTTAAATTATAGAATATATATATCATTCAATATATTTGTACCATTTCATAGATAAATATTTATACAGGGTGTATCTAAATTCTGTGGCAAAACATTAAGGGGTGATAGTACACATCAAGACAAACAATAGTA